CACACACACACACACACACACACACACACACACACACACACACACACACACACACACACACACACACACACACACACACACACTCCCTCCCTCCCTCCCTCCACTCCCCTCTTTCAGTGTAGAGGGGGGATTTGAAACCGTCCAACTAGGATTTTAGACATCTGGCTTTGGCTGTTCCTTTTATAGACAATCACACCCTCTACCGATGCACACGCACGCAGCGCACTGCGCAAATGAACTGCATTTGCATTTGTGTTGTATTTACATAGGTGTTAAGATATCCAAACTTGCGTGGAGCGGAGCATGCTGGGAACAGGCGAGCACTATCGAGGGCCTGAGAACGGCACACCCAGCGTGCACAGGGAGGAGAGAGGTGGCCACATTAGGAGCCTTCCTCCGACACACATGAAACACTGTCACTGCTCCACCAACAAGAAAAAAATGTTTAAGGGGATCCACTGATACTCCAGTGATGGATTAGGGACATGATCAGCTGTAAAGTGTAAATGATGACCTGTTGCAGTATCTAACACATCTGAGTTAAAGACCCCTAAAGGCCTCACACGCTGCATGAATAAACTCGTGTGGTGACGCAGGTTAAATACATTTGCAGTTGTGCTTTTTTTAAAACTAGAGGTCACAATAAAACACACAGTTGTCTCCTCTCCTGTGGATCTGCAGCAGGGAAGAAGAAGTGCTACGTCATGCTGCTGTCCAGTCTGGCAGTTAACAGAGAGGAGGGTTCACTCCACTGTCATGATGTGCTTATCGCAAATCCACTGAGAGAAGGAGCACAAGAGGAAAGAGATGGACCACTGCTTGGCACCACGCAGGATCTGACAAACACTACAGTGCTGTAAAAAAAAACAGAAAGACACAGTGTGTCTGTGGGGGGGGGGGTTGTATTCCTGTGGGGACTTAACTCTAGATACACACTAACCCATAAGGATTTGTGTCACAGTGGGGACAATATTTCAGGTCCCCACAGGTGAACACTATTTTTTAGCATTTATTTGGATGGTTCAGGTGAGGGGCTAAGGGATGCATTATGCTAATTTGTATCCCCCACAGGGATAGTGAAACAAGTTTTGTGTGTGTGTGTGTGTGTGTGTGTGTGTGTGTGTGTGTGTGTGCTGAGGGCATAGCACAGGGGCAGCAGTGTTTACGCTTACGCAATGCTCCCGCGATGTGACCCAGTTGGAATGGATGCACGCTGCCTCATTCTCTCCCCTTCTCTCTCTCTCCTCCCTGTCCTCACTCTTTCATCTCTCACTCCTTGACTGAAACTCTCTCCCCTCCACTCACACACTCCTTCCCTACCTCCCCCCTCCGTGTGCCAAATCAGCCCCCTTCCCCCTGGAGAGAGGCGGAGGTTCTATTTCAGACAAGCAGAACTTTTGGTTTTGGGATGAGTCCCTCGGGGTGGATCACCATGACAACCACTCGCAGGCAATAACCATGTGTTCCAAAGGATGAAGGAGGAGGGAGAGAGACAGGACGAGGAAGAGAGACATAGAGAGAAAGAGTTTAAAGGTTAACAGGTCACGTTATGTAAAAACAAGATCAGATTGGGTCACCTGTTTGTCGTCATTTATCAAGATGGTTTAGGGAACACACTAATATAAATCATCACATTCATAATGTATGTACATGGATCACACACATAAATTACCTGTCATAGTCTTTTGTTTTCAACCTAATCATGGATGGATGAATAGATGGATAGATATCTATAGGAATATCGTCCTCTCTTCTTCTTCTTTCTCCTCTCTAACCACTTCACCAACTTCTAATTTCCTTCAAGAAGCCGCAGGTGGGAACATGGTGCAGTGGCTTCTGTTGTACTACAGGGGGCAGCAGTCTAATCATAGCAGCTCACCCCAACTCCCATTCATTCACCCAATGACCAGAGAGAGGTATTAGCTGGTAAATTGTGTGAAACCTGTCTCATGGATAAACTTGGCTCTATGGGGGCCTTTGCTGGGAATCCAAACTAGCACTCTAACAGCACTCTATCAATTACTCTACTTTCACACTTTAAGTACACCTGCACTCAGGGGAGCAAATCATCTTATCCAGAGAGTGAAGACGAGACAAAAAAAGACATTATCCATTATACTTTCAAATCTTATTTCAGATTTGCCCCCCAAAAATCTACAGAATTAGTCCCAACTGTGTATATTAAACCGTGTACATTATTTCTCTGTGAGTCAGCTTTCCTTTTCCTCTGAACTCACGAGCCTTGACATAAAAAAAAACAAAATAAAAGAGAAACAGATGAGGTGAAATGACCGTGGTAGAGATTGAAATAAAGAAAAGTTCTCAAAGATGTTTCATGATAAAAGTACTCAGATCCT